TATAGTTTCGACAGTTTCAGCTTTCATCGTATCGAATGGGTTTTGTCATATCCCTTATTATGATTTTAATATAGTTTTGTCTAAGTTTCGACTGTTATTAAGGGGTTTCGTTCCTCATCTATAATCTGATACTGTTATAAAATATATACAATAAGATGGTTTAGATTTTACTAATTGTGTATTATGGGTGATGAATAATATAGTATAATATAGCTTATATATTTAGCGAAAAAGGGACTATTATTCTTTTTAATAAAAAAGGTAGTATAACTTCAATTTAAATTAGCTGTAAACTTTATATCATTCAAATTGTATTTAATAATTTTGAACAAGAAGCATTTAGAACAATTTGAATAGTACTAGTTTCTCAAGAAAAACTCATATATACAATTTACTTTATTTAATATGAAAGCTTCATAATGATTATTATTCAAGTAATAAAAACAAATCATTTAACATAAATGTTCATATTATTCAAGAATTATATAATAGATTACTAGGATTTCATTATAATTAATATTAGTTACCTTTGATTTCATTAGAATTATAAATTATAAATAGCTAAGTAGTATCTTGATTGTTATTCTGCTCATATTGAATTTATAAATTAATTTATTAATAAATTAAAAAACTATTAAAAAACACCTAAATCTTATCTCAGTAATTAGCATATTTTCAAATCTTGGTTTGCTGATTTAAAACTTAATATTTAAGTTAAATACTTAGTTAAATTTATTGAGCATTTTTATAAATCTTTAATGCAATTTATAGTAGGACAAGATAATATTTCATGATTATATAATGATGGATAATTAATTGCATTACTTTTAAGGCAATGTGCTCATAAAATATTTGACAAAGTTATTGAATAGTATAGATTTATTTAAAACCTTACTAGCAACTTTGATATTTTTTTTTTAGATCAGCAGTTTTTGGAGGCTGTGAATTTATTATCTAATAAAGATTTTGAGATTCTCTTTAATAGTTTAGAGCATGAAATTGCAAAAGCCTTAGAATCTTTCAAAAATGGTTTTCACCATACTTCATTTACCATTGGCAGTTTGTCAGCTTGGAGAGGATAATGCACAATCATTTGTATCTAGCTTTTATTATGTTATTCTCCAAAAACCTTGGATCTCTCCACCTTCTGATTTAGAATTGAAAATTTTGAAGATGATAGAAATAATGGAATTACAGATGACTTTGGTTTAAGTGAATTGCTATATCAAAATAGCAATTGTC